TGTGTGTGTGTGTGTGTGCGTGTGTGTGTGAATAGTAGTTATCCACACTTCTGCTGGAATCACTTCAAACAGCCGCAGCCTCTCAGTCTGATGCTAACTGAACATAAGCCCTTTGGCTCTTCAGGGGTCTTGGCTGCACTTTCAGCACTTCGACAATGGCCGTGCTTTTGTGTAAGAAGATGCAACATTGGCATTTTGGACAATGACTTCTGCACAGTTTTTCTTTCTGGCAGGACAAGATGTTCGTATTAAGACCATCTGTGTCTGGAGACAATAGTCTGCCTAAAACACAGTTTGTTTTTGAGTTTTTATGTGAATGTCCACCACATTTCAAATCATTAACATCAGTTTCTCTGTCTCTCAAAGGCTTTTTATAGCACATTACTAAAGCAGCAGACTTTTATGCAGAGCATCAGCTGCATGTTGTATTAATGAATACTATAAATTAGAAATTACTGCTCATTACAGTGTCGAGTGTAATGCTTTTCGTGCCTGAATGGATTTTAGCTTTCACCCTAACTGTTCTTTTTTTTGTTACTTCTCTAGGGTCACCCACGCCCACCGTGTGTCTGATAACTTCCATGCCCGTTTTTGTGCTGACTCTCGGACCTACGTTTACCGGATCGCCCTGGGAATCTCCCACAGCTCCCTGCTTCCCCTCACAGATCACGATCTGTGCTGGAACCTCCGCAACACGTGAGTTTTCTGCCCCTCTTTTTGTTCGCAGTCGAAAAAGCAGGCCCACACACACACACACACACACAGATATACCCTTAATAAGCTCATGCCAAGCCTTGCAGAAACAATGGCACGTTAAACACATGAATAATCCACACGTGCTGTGCCGGAACTGCAAATTAGGGCAAGTCAAACAGGGTGTTGTTGTGTTATGCGATTCAACAACCTAAAAACAAACAAAGGTAAAAGGAGGGAGAGCGGGATGAGGATGGACTGAGGGGAGGAGCCAGGGTTTCACAGTCTGGACAGTGTTCTTTTAGCCGTGGTTGGCCGACAGGGAGCATTCAGAAACATTTCAGAGAGCGTATGAGTGTTTGTCTTCACTTCACTTTTTGGGGTGGAAAAGTAGGGCACGATAAGCTGCGGGCTTATACACATGCAGAACAACACCCACGCACATTACCCTGTGTGGTTTTCTTTTCCACTCTCTCTTTCCCTCTCCCAACCTTCTCCTTCCCTCCCTCGTGTCTCTCTCTGCTTCGTTATCCCTCTCTCCCACTCCCTCTCTCTCTCTCGTTTTCAGCATCCGTCTCATCCCTCCGGCCCTGAGCGTCTCTGCCTCAGCAGCTTCTCTCTGTTCTTGCTGTTCTTTCTGTTCTCTCTTTGATCTGCCGCTCCCTCTTCATCCTTCACACTGAAAAAAATATTCATCCCCACTGTTTATTTTAACGCTGAATTTAGTCCGGAAACTCTTTTCTTAGAAGTGCGTTATTCTGGTTCTGAAACCGGCACAGTCATAGGTGGCTTTAAGCTCGTCTACCTGGGGTCCATGTTTAGGTGAGGGACAGATCATATTCTGGTTAAATCCAGAGAGAAGTTCACTGTGACTTGGGCCCTATCTTACACTCAGCACAAGGTAAATGTCTTTACTTGTTTCAGGTGGACTTTTCCCATCCATTGCTCATGTTGTTTGAATAACAATGCACTCACTGCCCAGTGGTAGTGTTGGTTTGAATGTGAAGTGTGGGGAGTGGTGCTTTGCCATCTCGATGCAGTGAAAGCAGCTGTGCAATTGTTAGTGGTGAAAGCACATCTGGCTTTTAGGAGATGGCATTTTGATCAATTAAGGATGTAACACCCCAGCACCCATGATAAATTAAGCAACTAAGTACAAGGGGAATGGTTGACAGTGGTTAGCACAGCAAGAAGGTTCCCTGTTCGAATCCTAGTTCAGTCTTTCTGTGAGGAGCATGCATGTTCTCCCCGTGTCTGCGTAGGTTTTCTCCAAGTACTTCCTCCCAAAGACATGCAGATCGGAGTTAGCTTAATTGGAGACTCTTAATTGACCGCAGATGTGAATGGTTGCTTGTCTCTCTATGTTGGCCCAGCGATACACTGGCGGCCTGTCCATAGTCCACCAGCATAGATAATGGATGGAGCAACAACCTTTTGAACCACGTGCCTGGTGCAGTGAGCATTTATTTCCCAGTAAGTAGATCAGTCTGTCATTTCTTCCAGTGCTCACATCTTCATTCATGGCGTACTGTCGCTTCAAGATTTAAAATTGGTGATGTTAATTAATGAGTCACTCAGCACACTCCAGACACACTCTGCTCCCTCATGTGGCATTGTGCTTTACAAATTGATGATGAATTATATTTGGAGGCTGGAACACACAGGCCTTAAACCAGTTGTAGTGACTTTACATCCCAGCTGCTTGACCTTGACCAAGCAGGTCACTTTCAGGCCAAGTTGTATTATTAGAACTCTGTTGTCCTCTGTTGTCTGTTAACACCCGTAGAAACTGCATCATTTCTCATGAACACTTATTGAAGTAAAGCTTCTCCCCCTCGTGTCTGTCAGGGAGCTGGATGTAGGAGCCATGCACAAGGCTGCTGCCCTGCTGGTTGGGACTCATAACTTCAACAGCTTCAGGGCGGTCAGCTCCGACATGCCTTTTAAAAACCCCGTCAAGACACTGGATGTGGCCGACATTCAGCCAGGAAGCTCTTTCTCACACACACACTTCCACAGGTAGGTTATATATTCAATGACAACTGATCACATTGATTAATAGCAGTCTCCATTTTCTCTAACTTTGAAGCTGCATTAAGATGTGTTGCTGTTTCATGTTTGGAAGAGGAGGGTGAGGTGAGGGGTGTTCAGCTGCAACGTGCAACTTCACCACTAACTTCTACACACTGAACCTTTAAAATAAAACAATGGGTAAGTTGTAGAAAGCTTTACAGATTTTTGTTAAAGGTTCAGTGTGTAAGATTTATGAGAAAATAATCCATTGGCATAAATTGAATATAAAATAACCCTAGTGATGTTTTCACTAGTGTGTTTCATCAAAATTGAATTAATTGTTGTTTTCTATACCCTAGAAAAGGCCCTTTATATTGAAATACTTTATATTTACATTGAGGGAGCCATGTTTTTTACATTAGTCCAGACTGGACAAACTAAACACCTTTTGAGTTTTTATGACAACTGAAGGCTTCTACAGGTTCTCTGTCATGTTTGGAAGGGGAGGGTGAGGTGAGGGGTATTCAGCTGCAACATGCAACTTACCACTAGATATCACTAAATTCTACACACTGAACCTTTAAACCTTTGATATTAACTGAGAGTTGGATAAAAATCAGCACCATTGTCACGTCTGTGCTTGAAATATGAAGATGCAATCAGCAGCAGGTCAGGTTACATAACAAGAAATACTGGTACCAGGAGAAAACTGTTAAAACAGCCAGGACCAGTCCTGTCCAATACAAACTAAATCTGCTGACTAACGCCTCTAAAGCTCAAATTACATGTTGTCTAGCTGTTTCCAGTCTTTATGGGAAGCTAAGCTAACATTCTGTTTGCTTAGCTTTCTATTCAAATGGTATTAGCCTGAAAATACGGTGCACAACATGGACATGGGTCGCAGCTTTCAGACTAAATGTCACACAGTTCCATAACCCCTGACACAGCGATGTGGTGCGTTAACAATCTGTAAGCGCCGGGTTTACAGATCTGGAATCTGTCTTATTGCGTTTGCAATGCTTGCAGAAGTGAGAGTAGTTTCAGTCTTCTCATCTAACTCTTGGCAAGAAAATGAATAGGCCTAAATGTCTTTTCCCAAATAATATTAATCATAATAATAATAATAAACTTTATTAACTATACATTTAATTTTAAACTATACAAATGTCTGTCTGTATATGGAACTGATATCTCTGTTCATCTTATCAGCTTTACTCTTGGGATTTGTATTGTTAAGGGCCCAAGAAATTACAGTGAAGAATTTGGTGCCCTTGGGATACGCGATGCCTTCAATATTAATAAAATGTGAATGAACAGGCGAACAGCACCTTGCAGATAGATATGTAAAATGACAAACTATTAATTTAAAAGACTTTATGTAGAGGTATATGGCACATTGACATAAGACCGACCTGCAGTACCTTCAGTGTATTTGTATCAGCTCACCTCTAGTGTCTTGTACTGGTGTTTCGATTGCCCTGCAACTACAGAGTTAATCGAGGGGTTAACATGAAACTCTGAGCACATGGCTGTCTGCAGCCTCAGTGACCAGGTAGCTGATTATTCAAATCAAGGACAAAAAAAGTCAGAGATGATACATGTACATAATTCATTTACATACATAATACATTTTCCTCTCCAAAAAAAAGCTAAATATTGTGTTTCTCAATCTTGCATCAACTGCTGCTGAAGAATTGGTGGAACTTTTGAATCATTTACAGTCACTTCACTCTGCCAGCTCTTCATGTTCAGCCCAGAATACATCTGCCTTTCAAGCTTCAGTCAGACACACTGATGTGTTTGATGTTCTCAGGTGAATCACAGTTCAGAAAGATTCTCATCTAATCTCATCCTGTTCAGAACAGATTGTACTTCAGTTACTGAAATTATACACAGAACTGCAAAATGTGTTTTTACTATTAAAGCAGCAAGTATTGCATCACAGGACAAGTAAACCTGACACATGTTAGAGCCTCTTTTAATAATGAATAGTCTGTGTGGTTGCAGGGTGGTAAACTTCAGGAAGATCAATAGCCATAGCAGAGATGGGGGAAAGGGGGTGGGATTAAGATGGGGACCATGTGGGCTTAGTTTGTGAGATGACGCACCACAGGGGGTCGCTCTGGATGCCAAATACCATTTTCATGCTCATTATTTATTTGCCTAAATATACAGTGCACACGATGGACATGGGCCGCAGCTCTCAGACTAATTGTCACACAGTCCCATAACAATCTGTGAGCGCCAGGCTTACAGATCCATCATGTGTCGCAGAGAGCTTTGCACTTAAGTGTCCATGCTTGCGTTTTCACCATTTCTCTGCACATTTCCCATGAATGGCCCGATGTGGGCTGACATTAGTCAGGTTCAGAGAAGGCGAGCGATTTGAGCTACATGTTTACTTTTTCATGAGGGTCACTATTCTAAGTAACAGGGATAAAAACAGGAAGAAACGGAGCAGTGAATTATTGAAAAGCCAAAGATTGAACTAAATTTTTGATCCTAAAACAGCGAGCTGTGGGACTTCTCTGGTCTCTACTCAACAAAGGACAAAAAAGAGATATTTTAAACCTGCAGAAATACTTGATCTCATTGTCATACATAAGTGAACAGTGCTCCATTTCAGAGCTCTGTGGTATTTATACTGCACAGTTACTTAAATTTCTTTAGTACAATTTCTTTAGTACAACACTAAAGTTTTATTATATAGCACAATTTTGCTTATGTTACACTACAGTATATACTGTATATGAGCAGTGTTATAGGAATCAAGTTCTTCTACCTCGTCAGCTCATTTGAATGCAAACATTGCATTCATCTTCTTTGACTGCAACTAGCAATTAATTTTTTTTAATTTATAAAACCTGAAGGGCCTTTAGGTTTTATAAATTTGTTACCAGGAAACCTGAAGGGCCTAGATTTTCAAAATAAGCCCCCCCACTAGAACAGACAGTGTGACGAACTACATAAAACGTCCAATTTATTTTAAGTGTACTTTGACTTTAGAGTTTGGTCCATGTCCTGTTCACTAACACGGAGGAGGCAGGATTCCAGATTCCACTTTGGCTTTACTTTTGGGTCACTGTCATGTTGTCCATCTTTATATACAATCTATGGTGTTTACAGATCAAGTGCTGTTTATCATTTGTGACAACAGTTTTTTCTCTCTTTCAGGAACATTCCACTCTGGGAACTGACTTTCAGGAGCAGATCTTTTCTCTACAGGCAGGTTTGTTCATTTTAAATGTCTTTAAAATCGCTTCTATATTTCTATTAACAAGCATGTGTATGATTGTGTTGCCATCTACTGGGGGTGCTTGAAAAATATGGATTATAGGAAGGAGTTATTATTATTTAAGCGTTACAGATTCCTAATGAGTGTTATTCTCAGTACATACTCGAGTGGTTGCTGGCTATGTGCTCCAGGTGCGGAGGATGTCGGGGGCCCTGGTGGCTGTAGGCCAGGGGAAGCTGTCAGTGCCCCAGCTGAAGGACATATTGGAGGCTCAGGACTCTTTAGCCTTCCCACAGGGTCTGACTGCCCCAGCTCACGGCCTCTTCCTCACCAGAGTGGACTACAGAGACGCAGGTGAGGAGGCTGGAAAACAACTCAGAAAAGGAGTCAGGCTGAATTTAAATATGATATATGATATGATATGATATCTCAGATATCAAACAGAATCACTTAAATATGACACATACAGCTACCTATACTTCAGCTCAATGGGACTCATACATACACAGTGGTTCTGATATGGTACCAGCAGGAGGATATTGAGATGAAACTGATAACGTTAATTCAAAATTATCGTTATCCTTGTATCGTAAGATTCCAGTTTATTTGCAAACACGCCAAAATGACTGGAAAACACTGCTGCTGTTTTCACTAATGGAATAACACAAAGAACAATCTAAAGCTCCACTAAGTTTTATTCTTGGAGCAAAGCAAAAGCAAAGTTTGAATCTTACCTTATTTTACCCAGTTATTTTCTTTAGTTTAGTTTAATCATTTGCTTTACAATTAATTTAATGATGTACTGTATTTATTCCTAACATTTCACATTTGTTGCAGCTTGATTGAAATTAAGGGGAATGGAGGTATGCACGGAGTGACATTCTTTTTTTCTTTACCTCTGTAGAACTGCAGTTTTCAAAACAGACTTCAGAGCAACATCTTCCCTCTACAGGAAACTCAGAGGATTAATTTGAACAATTAATTTGTGTGATTGTATTTCTCTATTAATGCATGCAAAGATTGAAATAAAGATTTTATATTTCTATGTATAGTTTTGTCTTAACGTATAAAACACATCAGCTTAACTTCCTGTCAGTGACACCGTAACAGGTGATTTAATAAATGAATTTCCACACAAATAATCATTAGACTAAATACAGATGGACATCTATATGTTCTTTAATTCAACATATTAAGAAGACATAACTGTGTCCATGAATGCAGCTCACTTACAGAATACCACACACCTTGAACCTATCATTGTCTACACATGACCTTCAGGTTTAAACAGACGTGTTTTAAGCCTGGTTAGGCAGTATTACTCGTGTGTGTGTGTGTGTGTATGCGTATGTATGAACTGGGTTTTGTCGTTCTCACAATCATCAAAACAAAGTATACAACATGTGGAGAAGAGTGTTAAGTTCAAAACTGCTTTGTGTGTCCATGGCTCTTATACAGTGGCGTTACATTACAAATTGACAAAGTGCACGCACACACTCACTGATAATGTATACATCCAAATGTCCAAATACAACTGCATACACTGCTTTTTTACCCCGAAAGGTCTTCACAGAGCATTCTGATGGATTTTCAGCACACTCGCATGCTTCTTACTTTTGGCAGCATCTGCTCACTGAGTCGAGGGATTTTAAGCACGTTGTCCGTAAACAGTCCATTAAAAACCGGACTACCGCCGGCAAGTTGCCGGTGGGAGCCAGATGAGGTTTGCAGAAGGTTCAGACCGACCAATCACTGCCCTTAATGTTCCAGCTAATCGATCAAACACACCAGGCATCACACTGTTTTCCTTAATTTCGTCCAGTCACCCACTGATGCAAGGTTAACTGATTTTAAGCTCTGTGTATTTCTAAGTGCTGCGTCTGTTAAAATTGAACCTCATGAGGAATGTTGTCGCACTTCTTAGAAGTGACAAACGTCAATAATTCAGCCACACTGCCTAAATTTTTAAATATGTACACAAGTACATGTTTGCTATTCCTGCGACCATGTTGGAACAACACAGTGAATCTGATTGGCATAGGTCCTCTGGTCCTCAAGTCAATTCAGCATTTGGTTTCAAAAAAGATAATTCACACATCCTAAAGACGCCCATAATTCAATATATCATCAAAATTTCAAGTGTTAGTCAGAATATTAAGCCCGATGTCTTAGAATATCAGTAACAAAATCATATGTATATATAATGCACTTGAGGAAGGCATTGCGTATATATCTTCTTTTAACTCAATCCTTATTAACAGCACAGCCTGGATGAAGAATGTAGCTGAGCTCAAGTCAAACTGGAGACCCTGATTAAAAGAGATTGTGGGACAGTGAATGACGAAAGGAAACTGAACAAATCAGGCCATGACGGCCACGTTTGGAATTAAAAAAAAATTTTACGAGACAGATGAAGGAAAAAAAAGACTAATGCTCAACGCTCAGCAGTGGAGCCGAGCCTGTTCTTTGTAAATGGCCGTGACAGTTTTTAAAAATGACAAAATAACACATGTGACATTTGTGGTTGGCTGATGATCGATTACTGGTGAAAACACAGAAACACCTGAACGTGCATGACTTGGAGTTAGTAGTGTATTATCAGCCTTTTTTTGGCATTTGACTACACACCCTGATGCTAAAGCTGAGGTTAATTCATGAATAATTTGTGTCATGTGAATACAGGTTGATAGTATTTGATAAGAACTATCACAGGTTGATAAGTTTGCATAGACCCTTGAAACTCAACCATCACCATCTCAATAACGTAATCTTACTGATTTAACTACCACTTGGAGCAACATACCCAACTTCACCCTTTGTACTGATTTTGGTTGATATAACAAAGCACAATAAAAAGCTGTAGGAGTTGAACATGAAATCGTTACATTCAGTCTTATTTTTGTTCTTTCAAAATCAAAGAAAACTTTGTGGCACATAGAAACGGCTATTCGCCATTCTGTTTTTTTTTTGTGTGAACCTTTTTAATAGAAAAGCTTGTATCATGCCACCACTACAGCCAAGAAGTGTTTTTTTAATCCACTTATGTTCAGTCAAAGAGTCGACTATTCCTGCTTGTGGCGTATCATTATAAACAGCGATAAACTCATAGACTTTATTTAAAGCAGTACAAAGAGTGAAATGGGGTATGTTCCAGAGACGTACAAAACACGTTGTCTGAGAGGATGCATTTCCACGTGTAAACATATGCTGTGTTTGTGGTTTTGCTCATTCCTCCGACAGCTAAAAATTAAAAGCATAAAACACTGTAGGAGTGCACAGTCCTTTGAGAGCGAGGGGGGGAGGGAGCTAGGGTCGACATCCTTCATGGGAGCGCACCCCTTTCCTTTAGCCAGCGATTTTCTCAATTTCATCCAGATCGTCTGTGTCTAGTTTTTCAATTTTTTTATCTGTGGAGGAAAGACGATGGAAGACAGAGGGTTGGCATGTGGATGATCGGCAGCAAAAATGAATGAAGAAATACATTTCAGACAAAGAATAATACTTATAGAATTAATGTAATTATATAATCTCTACAAGTTTACGAACACTCCACCACAACTAAACTGCATCATTAACCTATTGTTATTAGAAGGACAAGTTTGAGTAGCTGCTGTCAAACTTACTGAAATGGTCCTGGATCCTGTTGAGGATGTTCATGCTCATCTTGCTGTCCACCATGTTGATCGCCAGTCCCCGTTTGCCAAATCGACCTGTGCGGCCAATCCTGTGCAAGTAGGTCTCGTTGTCTGGGTTACCGTCCTTGTCCACTGGTAAGTCAAAGTTGATCACCACAGAAACCTGCTCTACATCAATGCCTAAAAGTAAGAGAAGCAGGGCGAAAGATTATCAATCACTACTGTCAATAACAGTTCAGGTTAAAGTACTGAGAATTCCACTAACAGAAAAACGGACGTGGCTCCATTCTTTGTCTTTGCTTAAAGGGATAGTTCACCCAGAAATTAAAATTCACTCATTATCTACTCACCACTTTGCCGATGGAGAGTTGGGTGAAGAGTCCACAGAACACGTTAGGAGTCTCTTACTGCATGTAACTGCATTAGAGTAGAATCCAATACAATTGAAGTAAAAGACACAACAGAAAAGACATAACATGCCTCCATACTGCTCGTGTGTTGTCGTTTAAGTGTCCACGAGCCCCAACATTCATATTCGACTAGAAACCACATAATTTACACCATAAGTAGCTAAGCTAGCAGACGTTAGCACGTCCGACGGTCCCTGAATGCACCTCTCAAAAGATATCAGCGGACATTTGGGCTTAAAACATCGCGTCAATGACCTTGTTACGAGATGAATATGAATGCCTGGGCTTGTGGACACTTGGATGACACCACACGAGCAGTATGGAGGCATGTTATATGTTTTCTGTTGTTTTATTAGATCTGAAGCTTTGGTCACCAGTTACTTTAATTGAATTGGATTCTGCTCTAATGCTGTTTACCCCTGAGACACTAAAGTGTTATGTGGACACTTCACCCACCCCTCCATCGGCAAAGCGGTCAGTAGACAATGAGTGAATTGGCATATGCCGACAAAGCATGTGTTTTAATATCACAAGTAAACATGACATTGCAGAAATATTCAATTTAAACACCGGCTCATAATTTCAGGCAAAGGACAAATAATAAGCAGGACTTGGACCGATCCACTTCTGGAATAAAGGTAAAGCTTTGCAATAGAAACCCTATAGAATAGAAGCACACAGTTCCATGGTGTTTACCAAAGAAATTCTTAAGACTGTACTCACTCTCCAGTCAGTTGGTCACAGAGAATATACATGTGACAGTCAAATTAAAGTCATGACCACATGGTCCTTACCTCGAGCACAAACGTTAGTTGTAACCAGGACCTTCTCCTTGCCATCCCTGAAGCGATCAATGACAGCAGCCCTCTGCTCAACCTGCATTTCCCCACTGAGCAGCGCCACCTGGTGGCCTTCTCTAGACAGCTCGCCTGCCAGCCAGCCAGCAGTCTTCCTAGTCTGAATCACACAGAGAGTAGAGTTTGTTGCTTATTTAACAGCCACCTAGGTTCATGTGTAGCAAAGGACAAAATGTGAAAAAAATAACTTGGCAATAGCAGCTGGTTTACAGAAAGAGTGAAGCAGGCAAGCATTTTTTTAATTTGTCAAACAGTGAAAAAGCAACAATTTAAAAAAAAAAATGGTTTTGTGATAACGGTGATATCATCTTTGACCACCAAGACCCTTTATGTTCATCATTGGGTCCGAGGTGAAGGTTTGTTACTAAAAAAGATATCGTGTTCAAGAAAATGGAACAGACAGATGACGTAACTTGAAAACATGACGCCTCTGGCCTCAGCTCTTACGAGCATGGAGGTATGACAAAACTCAACTTATAAATACAAGTGGAGGAAAAAAACTGTCTCCCTGGTTGATTGGAATAAAACACCAGGGTCAAACTCACATGGCAGAAGATCATGGCCTGGGCAATAGTGATGGCTCCGTAGATGTTACAGAGGGCTTGGAACTTCTCTTCTTTGCAGTTGCACAACACATAGTACTGTTTGATGGTGTCCAGCGTCTCCTCCTCTCTCTTCAGTTTGATGATATTGGGGTCAGGCACAATGCGCTGGGCGAAATTCCACACTGTTTCTTCAAATGTGGCTGAAAACAGCAACATTTGGCAGTTTTTAGGCAGCATCCTGTGTGGCAGGGAAGAGAGGAGACAACAGATCAGTAAATATTTATTTACAAGATAAGAAGATATAACTGTTGATAGATAAGAATACATTCATCATGGTTTCATTACACTGTACATAGGCTTGTGCAATTTTTCTAGCTTTTCACAATTGAGTATTTTAATTTCAATTAATTTCAACTCACCTCTGTATGCGGATACTCTGGTCCTGGTGACCCTGTGTGGCGATCATGACGTCAGCCTCGTCCAGCACAAACACCATGATCTTCTTGGGGTCTATAAACTTGAACTTACTGCACCAGTCCAGCATCGTACCAGGTGTGCCAATAACTATCTGTTCCTGCAACTTCATGCCACGCTGCAC